CGATTCTTGATGCCCTTATTCGTCTTCCCTGTCCAACCACTTCGAAAAAGCGACCAGTAGCAAATTTGGAAGTGAAGGAAGCGAAAGTCGACCGCCTCATTGCGGCTATCGAAGCCGATTTGTTATAGCTTATTAGTGTTTGGTTATGACAATTTTCAGTCTCTCAATCTTTTGCTTACACCGACCTCTTAAGCAATGTTGATTATCACATTCATGACGCTATGAGGAAAGTGTCGGGCCTTTTGCTAATCCTCGTACCTGTCCCCCGCTGATATTTCAGAGTGTTTTTAGCCATCTTTCATATATTATCCCTTCAACATTGATGTTATCAAAATAAAATAAACCATTAATGCTCTGCCGAGTTCATTTTCGTGGTACTTTTGTACTTTCCTAAGTCATTCTACTCCACAGTTTCCATGCTGCTTTGCATTATCGTTTGCATCGTGAGTTTTTTCGCTTCCTTTCTTTTTTTGTTGCTACGCTTTAATACTCACTTCCTATCAGTGCTTTTTCGCTGACTGTATTGGAATTACTTGATTATTCTCTTCGACAGACAGCTCCTTCGCTCGTATTCACTATTCAGTTTTGTAGCTCGTTAATGTCGATACTGTCACAAACAAATTCCCTTCCTCTTCTTTTTTAATGTTCTTCAAGCGTCTTCTTCCATTAACCCTCCACACTGATTTATAACAGCTGCCTTATCGTTATCTTGTGAGCTACAGAACAGACGAATATCTTCGAATTTTTTGCACACATTTCGTCACATCACCTCTTAGTGAAGACGTTCAACATTCATTTTGGTGGTCACATTGAGGTAATTAGGTCGATTATCAACTACTGCTTGATTTTTAAAGTAAAGCAAGAAGTTAAGATAAGAGGTATACCATCAGTTACTTTTCAACTTGTGTTCACGTGAGGTCACCTCAAGAATTAACTATAAACGCATTTAATGAGCCAAATAGACGGAATCAAATGCATTGCATAAAACCTATGATTTAGATGTTAATTTTATATATACGAAGCAAAATGGGGCGCTATAAAACAGTGATAACAATGATTGTCCCAGAATCCACTTTTCAGTAAAGTAAGAGAATACGTACTCAAAGAAAATTCGTGGTGCACACATTTTTGTGCACAGTACCATGAACATAATCTGAGAAGAAAAATATTTGCTGAACCTATATATGTTCCTATTAGGCGTAGCGTTCAAAATAAGTTGTAAGATAACACTTGAAAATTATTTTGATCGCAAAACAGCATTTCCAACAAGTTAAGTGACACGTCAAAATAGTGAGAGTAAGTGTTCGAAGGAGATGCCCGTCCTACAGAGAACGCAAATACTATTGGAGTTAGGTTTAAACCATTTATCTTCATGATGCATGCATCTTCACGAGTTCGAATCCCCATAGCTCATTCATATTTTGACCATATCTCACCACCTTTGTAGCTCTATTTTATATCGTGAGGCGCTACGAAAAAAGTCAGAGGTAAAGAAAAAGTGAACCATACTATTTTGTTTTCTCGCAATTTTTTCCACGCTTATTGAACATTTTGCGTGTTGTTCTATCTGCTCCTTGAGAACCTGGTCTTTTTATGAATATCTTAGATTGCTGGTCTTGTCAGTTCTCCTTCCCATCCTGAGATAGTCGAACTAAAGAGTTCTCACGTAGATGATTAGAGAACGTTAGGGAGAGGAGTCGAAGCAACTCCTTTCTTCCTGATAGCTGCTTCTCCCCCGGACAATAATGTATAAGAAACAAGCAGTGGTGTCCCAAACAAACAAGGAATGCTTCAACCTGCTTTCCGAAGCAAACGATCTAAGCAGTGCTATTTTTGATGATGGATTTGCGCTATCCACTTAGTTCAACAGGTGCAACAGTATGGTTATACTGTACAGGCTATCGAGGGCATTCTAAGAAGCAGAATTTCACATCTTTCAAGTGACTATTCCTGGAATCGTTTGAGCAATAAAGTGCTTTATAAAAAAAACTTATGACTACTTATGAAGTTAAAAGCTGAAAATGAACTTTCCTAAAAGTGAGGTGGTGATTCTTGAGATTTTTTATGAAATCGGTTTACCATGATACTGAGTATTCTGCTTGGAAAATAAGTAATACTAGTGCCTAACAAATTCTACTATCTATTTGCAGTGTATTTCGTTTTGTACTTTGAGGATTCGACATTGTAATCTGTCGATGTAATTTCTGTAGTAATGGCAGCTGAAGTTGAGCTCTGCGAAGCAGGAGAGTGGCCATTACCAAAATCAAATCAAAACGAAAACCGACGTTGGAAACTACCACTACAAATTAGGGAAGTGGTACATGTATGAAGTGGTCTCTGTAATCAGAGAACTATCTGCTTCGATCTGTTTACCTGTGAACAATCGGCTCTTTATTAACAGACTTCCTTCCATTTATCCATATCCCTTAATATATAATTAAATATTCCTCTTGATGAACAAACAGAAAATTGTTGATACTGAGATTACTGAACAGAGTGTATCACGATAAATAAAACCGACGTTCCGGCGTTGTCGCTTTCTTAAACTCCTCGAAAGGTCAAATTAGCATGCAAAATACGCAATCAACCACTTTCGTAACAGCAGAAAAACGTTACAAAAGTTCCTCATGATTTGTCATCAATACACGTGCTGTTCTCAGCCTTAAGAGTTCAATTCCCGCTTCCGCAAGCACCCTTGACACCAGTCGGTAACGTATCTCTTATAGCGCGCTCTGTCCAGTTGGTTGAGAGAGTTTGTGACACGTAATCATGTGGCACATAGGGGAATCAAACACGAACGAAAGGAAAAGAATTCATTTTCTTAGGCAAATTCTAGCGATACCTCTACTCTTGAGTGTTTATATGGACCTCACTCAAAACAAGGATATTCTGACAACATAACATGTTTTGTCATAACAGGGAAGTTTTTCACCTGACCTGCGGTGATCTGCTATTCGACGTCGATTCCTCTATATTTAGGGGTACATCTCCAAGAGATCGGCTGAGATGGAAGGCACCATGTTACTGAGGGGCTTGGAAGGGCAAAAGAGCAGCCGTCTAGTAGTGTATGAGTGCCGTACCAGACCTCAAAACAGGCTCAAACATGTTAGCCATGTTATCAGATGAGTTTAGTATGGGTTTTTTCTAGAGACTAAATGGGCCAAATGTCTACGACCGAACAGCTGCGAAGTGAACTGGAGGTGATCACGAGTTGCCCTCAGTGAATAATCATCTTCCGTCCCACCAGAGTAGACGAACAAGGTAGCCGTATGTACTCAAACCCCACTTCCAAGAACAATAAGCTACACGCAAGTACAAAAAGCTAGGCAGAGTAAAGAAAACTGGCCGCGTTTCTCTCACCTCAAAGAGGCCTCGACACGGCAGCGCCAGAAATGATGAACATGGTGAGGCTGCTAAAATCTCAGAGTCTAAGAAGGAAGTCGATTCGCACTTGACTAAGATGACGATATGTGCCTACTACGCGCATACTCTTATATACAAATCCTCTATGAAAAAGGATGAAGTTCTCGGCGTTGATCAATATCAGAGGGATGCTTTGGTGCATTCGTCTCCAATTTTTTCGCTTCGTCTGAGGTGATTAAGTGCAAATACATGCGTTCGAATGGATATACTCATTTACAGTCACTGGCGGTACCCTACCTATCTATATAGTCGGTGCTGCTATCTTCCCAGGCATATCTGGTACGAATTTACGGAGTCCGAAAAAGTGGAAAGCTTGGTGAACCTTTAGCACGGAATCAAACCATCGACCATCAACTGATCAATCACGTGCGCCTCATGGGCACCTCTAATCATTGCGCTGCATGTTCTTTCACTATAGAGGAACTGACAATGCAAGCAAGAAGGATAAGGTGCGACGTCTTTGGTCCGTTGAAACGAGAGGACGCTGTCCACTTTACGATATCAATGACAACGGAATGAACTATTTATTAGAACATGCGATAGTGGAGGTGTCGGCGTCATTGGTGTTTTCGTCAAAACGAGTTTGATCCTAACTATCGATTCAAACCCTCACAACTCTGATCGAGACGACTAAGGTTGAAACAACATGGATAGATGATAATTCTGATCAATTTCGTTGTATCACACTGTTACATCTTGATGAGAGACGAAATCAAAGCATTCTGTAATGTGAGCCTAAAGTCCTCCCCGAAAACCATGAAAATCTTCAAATTTTTACAGAAAGGTCCTGAAGTTTTTTAGACATTATAGCTCAAAATGGGACTTAGAAGAACTCCGAAGAACATCGCAATGGAATCCGAGTGCTAGAATGGAACGACGAGAGTGTGAGAGGCTGTCCTGAATCCATCAATGACGACAAAATCACCCATGCATTCCTTGGGTTATTTTTGATTTCAGAATCCACACTCCCATTGGATGTGGGAGTTACCCAGCGGACAGTACCACAACGAAATCGGCCAGATCTTGGAAGATCCAAAGTTTGGCGTGACCGATGTCCTTTTGCTTCCTAAGTCCTACACCAAAAATCAGACTCATCGTCTTCTTCGAACAGCACTTCCACTTTTTGCTTCTTAGTGAGAGGATGCCACTATATTTAAAGAATTGAATCCCAGATTTTCCATGGACTGGTTTTTTCAAAATAACAACCCAATTCTGGGACGATACCGTCATTAAAACATCGCAACCATTATGCAGGTTCATCGAGCCTCCTCACACGTTATTGCCATCAAGCATCGTGTTCAAAAGTTATCAGAAAGCCCAATGGATGTGAGTGGTGTGCAAAAATGTTTGCGGTCAGGGCGGAATTGGATACCAGTCATCTCCTTTCCGAAGCATTGCGCTAAGGCCGTGGCACCCCGACGCTCGTTTTGCACTCCACTCTTTCTACGCTACAACGTGTTATCTGTCAACAGCTATCCGTCTACAGTGTGGCGGGCAGTCATTATCGGCATTGAACCCACTCATGTTGACAGATATTGGGTTCCAATAATCAAAAAAAAGAGTGGAGTACAAAACGAGCGTTGGTGGTGCAACGGTTTAAGTACATGCTCCCGGAAAGAGTAAGATCTGGGTTCGAATCCCGGCTGACGCAAACGCTTTTGCACACCACTCCACATCATTGGACTTATTGTAATATCATAACACCGCAATAGACGGTCAAATAAAATGATTTCCGATTGATTATTGAAGTCACCAGAAAACGTTTGCCTCCAGAAACGCTCGAGCTACTACGGCAACGTTGCATTGCGCGTTGCCGTAGGTGCTGCTAACTCGCGGTGAAACTTGTAGAACGTTGCAGAAAAGCGCTGAAAAAAATTTCAAAGGGCGAAGAGCAGCAGTTGTGGCCGAATTGGCAAAAGCTGGAAGGCATACGCAAAGCCTGTTGAAGTTTCGCAAATTACAACACAATTATAATTGCACTCCGACACCGCGACGGAACAATTTCAGCTTTCAAAAGGGGAGTGGTGAAAACTATTCAAGAGTGCTACTTGGATATTTCCAACAGCCACGTCTTCTTTCTGTCATATGAAATAGAAGAGGGTGGAATTCTCATTGCACCGGTCCATCCAGATGAAAAAAATTAGTTCCTGCCATCCTCCAAAACGTCATGCGAGCACCAGAATAGGGGAAAATGGGAGTGAAAGTTGACGGTCGACCATCTTAGGTTCGTTGATGACATCGTTCCCATAACACCAATTATGAACCAGGCGAGGTGAATGTTCGCAGATTTCGACAGCGCCAGTAGGAAAATTGGTCTCCGACTGAAACTTACAAAAACGATATTTATGTGAAACAAATTGATTTTGAAAGTTTCATTCCCTATTAGCAAAAAGAAAATGTCTTTGAGAGCTGCAGTTACCTTCTTAAGTAAGAAAGTCAATGTGATGAACAACATGGCCTCCCAATTTGAGCAGAAAGAAGCAAATACCTATGGGTGGGTACTTTTCAGGATCATCGAAGACACTCGGTATTCAAGCATGTCCTCACACACGTCAGAAACCTCATCGCTACGTATACAGGATGAAGGATTATTAGCGTCAGCAAAAGCACACGCGAATGGTCGATGCTGGGAGTGTACCTTATCTCACAAATAAAAAAGAATGATCCGATATGCTAATCTATGTCAACGATCGAAAAGCGAAGACGTCATTTTCACTCCAGACTGTGAAGAATAGGTAAGTTGGACACGTAATGCGCTTCAACGAATCAACGAGCGAGAGCTGTTGCCAATTAAATTCTTCCAAACGTCATACGCACCACAGAAAGCCCACCAATCCAAGTTCGAGAAAAGTTTAGAGAAAAGGTAAAACACTTGACAATTTCTTCCAGAAAGAAGGACCATAGCACTACTTGTGCACGTCATAGAAAAAAATGATTGTTTTACTGGTGCCTGCTTGATTACTTTCGACGTACAGCTTTGTCGCTATAAACGAGTATCACGAGAATGTTGTTGTGACGGCGTGGTTGGATTTTCTTGAGCCAACACTCTCCGGCGATCAATGACGAGCGCCCTGCGATGCCTAAGCCTGGCTATCCTCGAAATGACAAGACCACAAGACCAACATTCTACGATGTTCATAAAGAAGATAAAATTTCTCAGCAAGATATGAGTACGATGAGACTACTGGAATCCTCACAGTAAAAAAGATGTGGAATGGATCAATAGAGCAAAAACATTTTTTGTGATGAAAAAGAGTACCTTAGACATCAAAAGAGCTATTTATTAAGATGTTTTCCATTCCTCACGCCACCTTTTGTTTATTGCTGAACAATAATATAAAACGTCTAACTTTGCTTTATTACCTATTCTGTCTCCATTTCAGGACACGATGTGACATGAAACTAAAGAGATGCTAAGATAGTTTTTTAGTTACTAGCAAAAGTAGGAGCTCATTGTGGCTTCAATCAGCGATTATCTGAAAGTTTACATGTTAGCCATTATACCAAGACGATGCTCTCACTCTGGAGTTCTTTCGACCTGTTTTGACCCCATCGTTGCCGCGAAATCACCCTTTAACAACTCTTCATGCTTATGTGAAAAGAAAAATAAGCACCTGTAACGGTATATCATACCTTATCACGCTATCGTGTCGCCTCAATAGTGAAAACAACAGTCCATCATCAAGTCTCTTATCTAGTAGTTTATTACATCCATACCACGCGATTTGTCTATCATGGACGTCTTGAACACACTTTAACAGAAGCCAGGAAGGGAATGGTATTCTAAGTCAATTACGTCTTGCAGTTTTTAGGCGGACCTGGAAATACTCAAGAATCGGCCAAAGAGATCGTTTCATCTGAAATAATTTTTTAGAACATCCAGCAGTAACCGCTATTAATCATGATAGCTGAGAAAGAAAGTACTAATGTGGGGTTTAATAGTCAAATTTATTTTATAAAACGCCCCAATTAAGAGTTTGGCGCATGGAGCAATACATTTCATTCTTATTGGTTTTCCGTAGCTGGAGGAGTATGAGACTCAGTGTTTCGTCAAGTTAATCTTGCATGTGGCGGAAAAGTCAAGGAAGAGTTGCATTAGTATCGACTATTCAGCGTCACTATAAATAGAATAGAAGTGTATAGCCTTTTGACGATGGTCTTTCATCGTACACAATTGATGTGTTTACGAAAAGCTTTTGCCATTACCCTCAAGCCACCTATCACAAAACTCTGCCGTTTATTATCAATAACTGCTATTACATACTGTCCTGTAATAATACAGTTTAGAACAATTGTTCTGATCTCCAATCACGTGTTTGAAACTGATTCCGTCATTGGATTCCCCTTTTTATTTAGCTCATGCACATCATCTAATCAGATGTCTGGAATTTTTCTCTAACTAAAACATTTTCGCTGTAAGAACTTCATTGGTATATAGTAACTCCTCACCTTCAATTTGGCAAAACAATGTTTTGAGTGTCAAATTTGGTACCACGTAGTTCGAAACACAGTTCGTCTGGGTCACCTAAGTCAACAAGATTTTTCTACCGATAGTAGCTCAATGTGACCACTTTATGGGAGCTGCCGCCGTCCTGAAAGGGACATACTAACAAGAAGAAAGTCTTAAATTCAGTATGATAGATGAACAGATCTAATAGGCAGCAAAACAGTACATTGAATCAACTAATTTGAAACTATTTTGTGGCATTAATGTAAGACGTTCTCTTATTTCGAGAACTCAAAAAGCGATCATACCTAAAATCACCACCACAGATCAACAACACTCAAGTGTATCTACAAATGGCACTTTACAGCGTTGCTGAAATTTGATAGACTGCTATCAGAGCACTGTGTTTTGAGTTCGTGATCGTTGATCTTGGTAACATAGAGATTGCAATGCGGTAAAGTGGCTTCTGAGCTTCTATGGTGTTACTGTAGAGTAAATGTTTACCAAACAAAATTTTTGGTGCTTTTCCGTTGTCCGTACCCTGTTTCGACACCTTGAAATCAGTGAATTTTTAGGTTGTTTCTCAAAGTCCGAGAAGTTATTTGATAGAACAAATCAAAGCAATTCCAGCGTCTTATTTCATTTTGAAAATTGCTCCATTTTTATGCTCAAACGGCGAAAATAACATTTTGTTCCTCATTCAAAATTTTTCGCCGAATAAAGCTAATTTTTCCATTGAATAACTAATAGACAGATCAAATTTCAGGGATTCCAATGATGTGTTTGGTTTTTGTGAGGAGCTTTTCTCCTCACTGTAACAGCCAAAAGATGAATGATTTTGGCAATGGAAAAAGCGCTGTAGCTTAGCGGCCATGTTGCGGAATCCCTATTCACATGCCGACAAAGCACAGTGCTTTGATATTGATGCTCTGTTGAGCGAACCTTATCATTTCCTTCGTAGCTACAACGCACTAAAGCCCTTTCCAAAAGCTATACATATTAGTAGAATTGACGAGACTAAAAATATCGAATAATTGCTAAAAGTCTACGCTGAAAGCTTCGTTTAGAAAAAAAATGCTTGACTGAGAAAAAGGATTTTATTGTCGCTGTCACAGCACATTAATAAGGTCATTTTGAAAATGTAAAACGCTATTAAAATCTTTGAGTTTTGAGCTATATTGGATAGTCGTTAAATCCTAAAAAAAAATAGAAGGCGCTTTCCTCAAGGGACGAAAGAAGGTGCGGATGACGAAAATGCTAAACCCAATCTCCTTTTGGCTGTTACAGCGTAATGCCAGGTTTATTCTTCACTGAAGTTCTTGAGTTTTGATCTTCGAATAATTGTTAGAAGTCAAAGAATTAGCAAAGTTGAACGCGAAATATTGAGTGGGGAACTAATTTTTTGTACCGCTTCAGCGTGATAATAGAGCCATTGTAAATAAAATACTTTATTCAAATTACCCTTAAGTTATCAAATGACTTCTTAGACTTCGAGAAGAGCCAAAAAATACGGTTTTCAATGGGTTGAAACAAGGCACGGTTAGAGGAAGAATATCGTATTCTTCTAGTTAACCGCTTTCAGTGGTGGTATGATGATGTAATATACCCAGGATGTAAAGTGAATAATCTTATAATATACCCAGTTATGTAGAGTTAATGTTTATCGCTTTGTCAAAAAGAAAAATTTTGCATTAAAATCAATACAGGATGCGGAAAGAATTCTGAAAATTTTCTAGATATTTCAGAAGCAAAAATTACTGCATAAACAAATGAATTAATTCAATTGAAGGAACAATTTCGTTTAATAGATTAACAATTATAGCAGTAAACAAGACGATTGGCTTCCATTCTTGAACGTGCAAATAAGCTTAACTGAGAGCGGCTACATAACGAAGTGGTACCGAAAGCCAAGTAGTAAGAATATCTTGGTTCACTATCTCTCTTCTCATCCCTCACATACGAAGAAGGCGCTAGTAAAAAACATGTTTCGAACAGCAGCCAATGTATGTACCGGGGAGGAGCAGAGAGTAGAATCCGTGAAACTGGCGCGGGAAATAGCCACTTCTAATGGATACGAATTCGTAGCCCCTCGGCTTAGGTTTAGAGGAAATAATGCGCCTCCGAACGAAAACTTAGTTGAAAGGAAAGTCCCGTTTATCATCCCGTTCTATTCAAATGAGATTAGTACAGCTATAAAACGATGTTTGAAAAGAGCGGGTTTAGAGCAATCGGTGGCCATTATTGAAATACCACCGAATACTCTAAAACGCCAACTAGTTCGCAACCGCTTATATGACCGTCTCTGTATGATGAAAGATTGTAAAATATGTCCTAACGGCAGAGACGGTGATTGCATGAGCGTAGGTACAGTCTACCTAATCTCTTGCAAAGCGTGTAGTGATAAATATGTTGGCGAAACGGGTAGGCCGCTCTATGCACGCATAGAAGAACACCTAGCTGACAAGCGTCTTAATAGACAAAACACCCCGCTAGGGACGCATAGAGCACAGAAGCACGACGGAGTTGATTTTGAAATCGAAGTCACCATCCTTGCGCAGGAGCAAAAAACATCAGCGCGAAAGATCTTGGAAGCATTTGGATTAATACGACCAATCCAACCATAAACCGCAGGGAGGAATGCCTTGTAAACACTCGTGATATGAGCCAGTATATAAGACTGTTGTTTTGATGGGTAGGGTGCATTACGAGCCTATGTGTCTCTCTTGCCGGTGATCTCCACTTGGATCATCCAGTGGAACACATATAAAAAGCGGTGAGTATGTTGAGTGTTGATTTTTGCTTGATGCGATTGAAATCTAGGTCTGGTGATTTTCTCTAAAGAAGTAATGGAGGTGTTTGACTGATTGTATTGCAAACATTTTGACCTTTCCAGGCTCTGAAGAAGGCGAACTGCCGAAACGTCAGCTATCGAATAAAGTTTAATGTAACACCTCGTGTTCTGCTCAAAGAAGAAATCAAGAATCATATTAAAAGTACTGGGTGATGAGCAAAAACACAACCACAGACGGGAGTCGAACCCACGTTTCATTCGTACCGGGGACGCGTGCTACCACTGCACCACATGGTCACGTTTTCAGCACCCACTTCTTCAACATTCCTATGACAGCTGTTAGCCATCATCCATTAACAGGCTTGGTTGGCTGCGCAATTTCGCTTTATAAATTCAGTTGAGCTGACAGCCATTGTGATAAGTAATACTCGAAATTTCTAGTGCTTTTACTGCGTTTTTTCGCAACAGACAATGCTCCATAAATGCGACTGGTCCGTAACTCTCGTTATGAACATCAATATTGTCATGGAAAATGTTTTAAGTCACCTAAGCGACCGTCGAAACGTTCGGAGGCCACTAACGTACCAACTTCGAAAAGGCTTGGACATTCTCTCTGACACTTTCTCATGGCATACGTCTTCTTGAAGAAACGGTATCCTACATTAACGTTCAGCATGGGAAGACCGAACGGGGAAGCGGTAGATATTGTGGTAGATATTGTGACTAACTCGATTCATTAACATTTTGTTCCTCATTCAAAAATTTTTCGCCGAATAAAGCTAGTTTTTTCCGTTGAATAACTAATAGACAGATCAAATCTCAGGAATTCCAATGATGTGTCTGGTTTTTTGTGAGGAGCTTTTTCCTCACTGTAACAGCCAAAAGATGAATGATTTTGACAATGGAAAAAACGCTGTAGCTTAGCGGCCATGTTGCGGAATCCCTCTTCACATGCCGATAAAGCACAGTGCTTTGATACTGATGCTCTGTTGAGCGAACCTTAACATTCCCTTCATAGCTACAACGCACTAAAGCCCTTTCCAAAAGCTATACATATTAGTAGGATTGACGAGACCTAAAAAATGAATAGATGCTAAAAGTCTACGCTGAAAGCTTCGTTTAGAAAAAAAAATGCTTGACTGAGAAAAAAGATTTTATTGTCGCTGTCACAGGACATTAATAAGGTCATTTTGAAAATGTAAGACGCCATTAAAATCTCTGAGTTTTGAGCTATATTGGATAGTTGTTAAATCCTAAAAAAAAATAGTAGGCGCTTTCCTCATGGGACGAAAGAAGGTGCTGATGACGAAAATGCTAAACCCAATCTCCTTTTGGCTGTTACAGCGTAATGCCAGGTTTATTCTTCATTGAAGTTCTTGGGTTTTTGGTCTTCGAATAATTGTTAGAAGTCAAAGAATAAGCAAAGTTGAACGCGAAATATTGAGTGGGGAACCAATTTTTTGTACCGCTTCAGCGTGATGATAGAGCCATTGTAAATAAAATGCTTTATTCAAATTACCCTTAAGTTATCAAATGACTTCTTAGACTTCGACAAGAGCCAAAAAATACGGTTTTCAATGGGTTGAAACAAGGCACGGTTAGAGGAAGAATATCGTATTCTTGTAGTTGACCGCTTTCAGTGGTGGTATGATGATGTAATATACCCAGGATGTAAAGTGAATAATCTTATTATATACCCAGTTATGTAGAGTTAATGTTTATCGCTTTGTCAAAAAAGAAAAATTTTGCATTAAAATCAATACAGGATGCGAAAGAATTCTGAAAATTTTCTAGATATTTCAGCAGCAAAAATTACTGCATAAACAAATGAATTAATTCAATTGAAGGAACAATTTCGTTTAATAGATTAACAATTATAGCAGTAAACAAGATTATTTATACCTAAAAGTATTGAGTGATGAGCAAAAACACAACCACAGACGGGAGTCGAACCCACGTTTCACTCGTACCGAGAACGCGTGCTACCACTGCACCACAGGGTCACGTTTTCAGCACCAGCTCTTCAACATTTCTATGACAGCTGTTAGCCATCATCCATTAACAGGCTTGGTTGGTTGCGCAATTTCGCTTTATTAATTCAGTTGAGCTGACAGCCATTGTGATAAGTAATACTCGAAATTTCTAGTGCTTTTACTGCGTTTTTCGCAACAGACAATGCTCCATAGATGCGACTGGTTCGTAAACTCTCGTTATGAACATCAATATTGTCATGGAAAATGTTTTAAGTCACCTAAGCGACCGTCGAAACGTTCGGAGGCCACTAACGTACCAACTTCGAAAAGGCTTGGACATTCTCTCTGACACTTTCTCATGGCATACGTTTCGTTGAAGAAACGGTATCCTACATTAACGTTCAGCATGGGAAGACCGAACGGTAAGCGGTAGATATGTGGTAGATATTGTGAACTGACTCGACATAACCCACAGGAGGCAGAAATACAATTCCTCCTTTTCTTTCTAAACCTTTCTTCTACGAAAATCATTAAGAGCGAGTATAGAGATTCTTCGTCGAATAGTCTCTATTTGACCTCACCATGCGACCTGACCAACCGATCGAGCGATCGACCCGAGCACACCACCCACTTCGGGACAAGTATGGCTACATTCGACGACCTAAAGTTCTCAGAGTTAGCAGGTTTGTTCCATTCCTTCTCCTTTAGCATATAATTTTGAGTAGTATTCACCTGTTTACAGCTTGTTCTTATTCCTTAGATGTGAGCTGCCTATCCATGTTCTTCTAAACTCCTCATTCACGCAGTAAAGCAGAATGTTGAGCTATGAACTTGTATGGCAACATTACTTTCAGTTGTACGGTTCGCACAAGGTGAGGATCGAGTCAGCGCTATAAAGCTCATGAAATAGTCTTGATTTTGTATGCAATTTAGTCTGCATATGCATTTGTACCTTACCGTTTTATTTGTAATATAATTATTAATATAGAAGTTCAATACCCAAGTCTGAGTCGTACAGTTCGTAAATCATGAATGATATACCAGATCACATTTTAGGGTCCGCATGTTTCTTTCTGAGAGATCTGATAGAATTTTGGCGCCACTATCACGCTTCAAATGATACGAAGGTGCAGAGAAAACGAAAAAGTAACGAAAGATCACTATACGTCTACGCACAAATGAGCAGGCAAGTTTTTCTTTCCTACTAAGAAGAAAATTCGATTACACCAAGAACAAACAAATTCAGATGCTCTTAAAAAATCGACAATCTTTGTTTTCGCTCTTCTTAGTAGGACTAGGATTTCAGCTCAAAAGACTATTTTGAAAGGTGAGGGGCGAAATGCACTGAATTTTGCTTGTATAACGAAATGGTTCTTTGAATGCTCGTGTTCACTTCCGAGAATATGCGTTAGAATTAGAATGTCCGATCTTTTCAAAAAATGAACTTTGAAGAGTTTGAAGTGGAAAATATTCTACGAGAACCATGAGTGTCATTGAGGTTAGGCGCGGATGAATCACTGGGTAACGTCCCATGCATTTGATTTAACTCGTAGCAATATAGAGGTGACTGAGTGTGCATTTACTATGTAGAACGACTTACAATAGGCTACCTATGCACTATCTAGTGTTTTATCCTTTCAGGCATGTTCATTAACAACTCGCTGACTCCGGAGATGTAAGGACATAGTTTGCACGTTAAAGGGGATCGAAGCAGCCACCACTTGTGTATCACAAGACATAAGCAGTCACGCGCTATACTTGCTTGTCATAGAATCATAACTTACAAATTTCACGATTCCTGAAACGTTAACAGTTGTATACCATTTTATAGATTGGAGTGAAAATAAGTGGACTAAAAATAAGCAATATAATTACGATGGTCGGGCAAATGTGCCTCAGTGGTGTAGTGGTAGAGCACGCGTCCCCGGATAGGATGAAACGTGGGTTCGATTCCCGCCTGAGGTCGTGTTTTTGCTCACCACTCAGTTCTCTTAGGAATATATAAATGATCATAACACTGCGAAATACGCAGTGAAATAATAGAAATTTCGAATAATTACGATGGTTTTTCAACTCCGGCGATTTCACTATGACATTTGAAATCACACCTTCAATGATTATTTTCCTTGATTTTTGTAGGAGAGATTCACAAAGTCACATTCAGGGAAATATAGTCCACGTCATCGAAAGACAAATAATGCGAAAATACAGATGAACTACTGTTAGTCATCAGGTGACTTCATTGTCATCGATGTTTTCGAACTTGACAGATATTCATCAAAATACTTTTTTTGCCTTTCGACTGTTTTCAAAACCTCGTTTTTGGAGTTCGATATATTGTGAAACTTTTTATCCTTTTCAAGGTTCGCTATGTTAGTGGTTTACGTACGTTTCGATAATCTCGCTCGCCTCGTCAAAGCCACACGCCTCACCAGCTATCCCAACATAGTAGAGAAGGGAAGACACAGAATGACAAGATCTGGAAAAATTAAATCTTCATTGAGTCTTCCAGAGTCGATGACACGCAGCTGTCATTGATTATTTATTTGGGCCTTCTAATCGACTGTTTTTGTGACTTCGTTTTTGAACTGCGATTTATCCTGGAAAACTTTCAGATACTTTTTTTTTCATCGAAATTTATGCCGTCCACTCTATAGTTTGCAGTAATTGAGTGATGTTCCAGAATATTAACTCTTTTCGGACGGATTACGAGGATTGGTGGGCACCCAATACAAATCTGGCTGATTTGAATTTCAGGGGCATATTGCCTTCTCTTAATGATAGACCATTACTGAGGAGACCTATGTACGAACAAATTAAGTAAAATTATTGCTAATGCTTTTTGAAGGCTCGTATTTCCTTACGCGAACCACATCGTTGCAGAATAGAATATGCTTACAGCGTGCTCAACCAGTATTCTACGCCGTTCAAGAAGGTGATAAATAAAAGAATTGAGTGCTAGAAGTACTGAAATCCGCACAGTGTACACTGTGATGAAGGATCACATAAAGTGCTGAAAGGAAAAAATAGCGCCTTCTTTTCGAAGTGCGTTATTTCAGTTGTGAAGCGGTTTTTTTGTGTTAGATAGCACAATTTTGATCTTATGGGCAGTATCCCTAGAAAAAGATGATGTATAACTGAAGAGACTCTCATAAACGTTTTTTAGTGAGGGAATGCCCATTTGCCTTCAAATTCTACTTATTAATAAAATCTTGTAGTACTAGAAAACCGACCTTCCTTCAACCTCGGCTTTAGATGATTATCCTGCGATGATTGAGAGAAAGCACTAAATGATTTTAAAAAAACTTACTGTTTTCCTCGGCTGATGTTTCGGCGAGTTCGTCTCCTTCAAAGCCGATTAATTCGAGTCAATTCTGCGGAATGCATCGCGTACAGTACCATTGCTGACAAACATTTCATTGTTTCGTAATTTTGAAAATGAGAAGAAAAACTTAGAAAATTGATCTTTAATTGAAGCTTCACAAGGTTTCTTTCTCCAATCTATTGCTCTTCTTTCCGGTCGAGGGGTTTTCGCGATTGCTTGAGGCTGACGTTTCGGCAAATACGCCTTCTTCAGAGCCTGAATGTATTATTCGTCGTAGCTTTATTTATATGACTATATACTGTGAGAAGAAAAAAAACAAATGAATTGAAAATCTAGGGTATTTATAAGCGATAACTGATTCAGGGAAAACCACTCACCTTACAATCTAGTCCAGGGACTACCTATGTTGTTAGCGCCAGGGTGACGTATGAACCCGCTCCCATGTCACTAGGTCAAATTATGGATCGGTGTCAGCTTAGATCCATGCTAGAAAATCAATCTGAGATAAGGTGCCATGTGGTTGGTTATGTTAAGGCACTCTCCCTTTTTGTTCATTTGCGGCTTTCTGGAATTTATCCGAAAAGCTTCAAGGGTCATTCACGCCGATGTTCTTGATTCGTGCCCTAGGATTTTGACTACTACCTCGAAGTCGTCATCGTTGTGCCTTTTATCCTGTGTGTACCTAGAGGTTTACTTGGGTTTTTATTTGTTTTTCCATCTAGGGCCTAGCGGAATACAGGCTCTTTAATGCGGATATGAAGTGGTCTGCCTGTTTCGCCAATATATTCGTCACCACATGTCTTACATAAGATAAGGTATATTGTACTCACGCTCATGCAATCGCCGTCTCTACCGTTGGGACAAATAACGCAGTCCTTTGTGTCACATTGACGGTCATACAAGCGGTTTCGAACTAATTGACGACGCAGTGTTTTAGGAGGAATTTCTACAATTCCTACAGAATTTTCTAGACCACTGTTTTTTAGGCACCTTCTAATAGCGGTAATGACTTCGTCTGTTATGAAAGGTAGTATAAGAGGTACCTTATTGTTTGGGTGTGGCGCCCTGTCGTTCCCATTGCGAGGCTTTTCGCTCCTTTTGGGCCTAACGTTAGTTGTTGTTCTTTCTTTGTACCCATTAAAAATGGCTATTTTTCGCGCTAAGTCTAGTGATTCCCTTCTTTCATCGTTTCCCGTACAAACACTTACAGGTGTTCGATACATATTTCGGATAAGTGCTTTTTTAGTATGTGAGGGATGAGAAGAAAGGTTTCGAGATCGTAATTGTTTTGGTGTGCTTCAACCGAAAATAGTCTTATTGAAGTCTCTTCTATCAGTTACCACTATTTGACGAAGATTGACTCTCTTTACTGACAATAAATATTCGAATCTCATTAGATAATGAGCACACTAGAGAGCTCCCTCCAGCCGCTCTTCTTAAGGAGTTCGTGCAGCCCTCAACAGAAAATGGCCGCCGTCTGCAAACGCTAAAAACTGTCTTGTTCACATATGGCCTAGCAGGGCGACCATAGCTGTGGATTTTCTTCTTAAGTCTTAGTGGACTCATCAGTAAGATTGCTCCTGAACCGACAAATCTTTCATGAGGTGACATATTCACTTCTGAAGACAGTAAACATCCACAGGATCGGCACTTGTCGGTGGTGATATGACTGACTGAGATTCTATCACCTTTTTGATATCTAATC